ACTTCCACCACGAGCAACGTGGATTCGATCCCAGTCTTTCCCGCTTGTAGTCGCACCTTCACGTCATGCATCGGTCTGATATGTCACTAGCAAATCCATCTCACCGTGACTGCCGAACCAGTGCGCGAAACGACAGAATGTACCCACAGGACCGGTCTCAGCTGCCTCCACTACCCACTCATATTCAGTCGTCGCATTGGTATACCCAGACTCATGCTCGCGCCCGACAGCCGGAATCACTGTGTTGTCTGCACGCCAAAGCCACCTTGCACATCTGCAAGCCTCCCCACCATCGGTGCTACCGACCCCACCACCACCACCACCACAACCAACACAACAGTTTCCAGCCTACATTGCGTATATTGCCACCGCACATGCCTATCATCTATCAGTCTGGACAGTCAGGTGTGGATGCCAGGAAATCTGCGGCAAAACGAAGCAGTTCAGATTTCATCATCACCCCCCTCCACCAGCCACTATACCACAAATAATCTTGACCCACACCGCCCACCACCGACACAGAATAGGCACCTCTCACATAAGTGAGTAGAGTGGTCTGTGGCGCAACCCGGTGCCTGATCAGGTCGGATGCGGCAAACGTATACGAATCCTCGTAGCTCAGTCAGTCCCTGTACCCACCCCCATCGTCAGTTGTCTGATCTGCCGAAAGATTTTTGTGGTGCGCTGGAGAGGGAAGTGATGGCGAGGCACACTTTGGGGACTCCAATTTACGGCATCCCAAGCGCTTTGCTCAAACGTGGCGCAGTCGAATCCAGCACGACGGGCTAAGAGCTGTGGCTTAGGAGATGGGCAAATGACGATGCAACTCAAATCTCGCGGCCAGTTGTGTATGTTCGGAGTGACCGACTGACGGATCAAGAGTCAGGACCTAATGATCCTTTCTCAAGTTGCTTCTGTGGGGTTCCTCACGCATGTGAGATCTAAGCCTCCTATCACCTTCATTGGAATACGGGACGTGTTATGCGAGGGTCAAGTTGTGTGTGGCACGCAACGGCGGTCTGATGAGCTCTGTTAGTCACTAACGCCAAATCCCCATATCGAATGACTGACCGACACGGACAGTGAAGCGATGCCTGCGAGAGTAAAGAGAGAGGGATATCAAGCCCGGCAATCAGAGCACATTCCTCGTTACAAAAAATTTGCGGTGGCTTTGAACGAACACGATGGGCTAAAAGGCTACCTGCTGACGGGATAGTTCGTAGAGGCCGGCTGCAGTGGTTCCTTGTTGTTGGGATCTAGGCGGTCCCCTTGTCGTTTTGATGAACACATGGTCCATCGTGCGCAGGCAGGCGTGTATGTGTGACAAGTTAAGTCGTCTCATCCTGACTTAGTCTTGCCAGAACGGTGAGAGAGGAGGCAGTGAGGCAGATGCCGCTCTAGTCTGCCGTCAAGATGAACTAATTCACGCGCAAGCCACCATGATTGTTCTACTCTCTCCACTATCTTCTGGCCAATATGATAGTTTGGAGTCGACTCGCGGGAGGAGAGGTCCGTCTGCGTTCTGCAAGTTCACATCCCATTAGAACTGTTTTCTGTACGATTGACTTTGAAAAACGCTGTGATCATGGAAGGCCATACTCATCTAACTATTCTGAGTAGGAGTGTACATTAGGAGAAATTTTTCATTCGTTTTACTAGCGGTGAGAGAGAACTCTGGCAGCCGACCTTAAGCATGATGTGAACAAGCAAAACTTGCTCGGTAAAAGCTATGCTAACTACTCTCTGAATGAGACCGCCGTGAAATCCAGATGAACTCGACATCCTGAATTTCATTTCCGTGATACGTTGGCGTGATTTGCATTTAATCGCCGTCCAGCAGTGTGAAACCATGATTTACATTGTCCCTAAAGTTGCCATCACACTGTTCACGCACCGCTACCACACCTGGACGTTGCTTCTTTGGATGATGACCAAAACATCCCTGGCACGAATGGAACATTTTCAAAGAATGCTGATAACGCAGTCTCCTAATCTCCTTGTGCTTCCGTCGTACTACAGCGCTGAGATTGTTTTAAGATGACTGGATACCATTTTAGGCTTACTGGCTAATGAGGTAGTAGGCCCGTTCGACGTCACGGATAGCATTGTATGTTTCCTCGTCACAACCCAGCTGGAGTTCGTTCGAAAAGCAGTTGAGGGTGGACGCACAGAGTGGAGTCAATCATGCTGACAGGAGGCAAGGGAGGTTGGAGCGGCGATTTTCGGCCTATTAACTGTCCTCAGCCTATGAAGTCATTTGTATTGTAACCATGAACATATACTGAGAGGAGTGTCGGCAAGCAGAAGGGAGACTGAAATGACCGTTTCTGGCTTGTTGTCCGTCATCAGCTAATAACTATTAATCTCAGACCTCTGGAGGTTTAGGCCGGCGGATGAGGCCTAATAAACCAGAAACGGACGTCCAGGCCTCCGTCGATTTTGTTGATGCTCCACTTCGTATATGTTCATTTTCGCTGTGTAACTAACCTCATGAGCCCTACATTAACCTAAAAGACACAACAGAGCGAGTAATTCCCGTAGTGCGATTGGTGAGAGCCCCCCTACCATAGTTAATATAGCCCATCACAAACGATAGGACAACAAGCCCGTGGCTCAGTCGTTAGGGCGTTGGGCTACCCACCAGGGTGTAGGACACGCGGGGGATGTCGTCGCACACGAGGACCGAACTGGCATTGCCATGGCTCATCTCATTGATAACCACTTTCTGTGAGATGCCCCATCCAGTAAAATTGCGGTTGACATTGGGTCACCAGTAACAGAGAGATTCGCTCATCCTTGTAGCCTTCTCGTCGCCTGTATGCTGAAGTTGGTATACATTATGGAGAATCCTTGCTCATCGCAGACATTTCCGAAAAGGACTAAACTGCTGTTGCGATTCATTGCTCTTCTAGAGCTTAGTCTTCATCTAATGCGGTGTCTGTTGTTTTGGTCTTGAACCAAGCTTTTCAACATCTGTGGTTTTTCCGTCTACCGCGCAAATTCCCGCAAGCGAAGAATCTTATGATATAAGTTACTCTCCATTTTGGTATTCTTTTGCGGCTATTCTCGTGTAAAGCATTTCTGTGCTTTTCTTCTGCTTTCGCATATCGTATACAATCTTGCCAATTCCCCTTAGAGCCCTTGCCTCACATTTACATAATGTGCTGGTTGACTGCATTTCACAAGAACGGTATCGTTCCCTCTGTCCGGAAGTCAGTTGAATCTTTGAATGGTTCTCTCATGTTCGTTTCGTCCAGCTCTTGTTTCATTTCCTCCCATTACGCGGTCATATGTGTATTCTATTCCCTGTTTTGGTTTTCTAATTATTTCGGATCTTCAATTCCTTCATATCCCCCCTCGAGGGCTTAATCTCGCTGGGATTAATGAGTACTCCTCCCTTAATAAATGTAGATTTCTCCCATCTCCGCCTGCCCCCTATTTTGAGATCAGGGTTTAAAAATTTTGACATACAGCACACCCTTTCAGTAAGCTATCGTCCATCTCACTTCTGCTCAATGTCAAGGTAGATATCGCAAGAGGACTTCCTTATTTTGAGTTCAGCGTTTGTTTTCCGTCTTGGCTAACTGAGACCGAAGATTGTGTTACCGGTTGCAATTTCGTTCCTGTAATTGTGCCAATGGGAAAGCGAATGAACGTCCGTAGTGTTCGATCGGATCGGTCGAATAATGCAAGCAATGATCAAGACTACAAAATAAAGATATCTGCAGGAAAAACTTAGCTCTAAGCCAGGAATGTTACGTTTGGTCCGAGAACAGAGACGGCGATAATGGGGAAATTGGCGAGTGTGTGCTGTTGCACAGAATCACAAAAAATAAAGTCCTCTCTAGTAGCAGATTGCTAAAGAATGTATGAGTCCTTCTCGATTATTCTCAGAAGTTTCGAGCTTTTCCTCATTGGTGGGGCTTGTCGACTGGACAAATTCAAGTCCGGCAAGGTGTGACTGAAAAGTAACCCGCAGATGTTTATCGCGTCTGACTACAACAGATTCAGGGATATAAAATTGATCCATAAGCCATCGACATCATACGGCAACGAAGACAGAACACCCCTTGTCGCAAGTCGAAACCGGTGGTTATGCGTATTTCTGGCATATTCAAAAAAAACAGTGCAGAGTAGCGCAAGTGTACGAGAAAGTGCGAAGTGTAAAATCGAAGATGTACATTCACGCTGACCGGAGAATGTGACTTCCTTCGTAAGCACGCCCACAGAGACCTCAGTAAAATAGCTGGACCCGCGGTGCGAAGTCCGTTTCCCCATGTGACGGCAATTGTAATTGTGTAGTGAGAAGACCAAGTTCTGATCAGAATTCTATTTACTTTCTTATTAACTTACAAAAATACTACTTAATTCTACATGGGAGGGAGTCATCATATCCGATGGGGAAGATCTGGTGGGGCTGCCATTTCCTCTAGGTGCTTAGACAAAACACCCTGCGTAGAGTGGCAATCAGTCGCCTCCAGCGTCGAGGTTTTCTTCTCTGTAGATAAAAAAAACCTAAGGAACCTTCAAATGAATTCAAAGGCGCAAATACCGCAAATGTCTTAACAAGGAGAGCACATACCTTGACCGGTTTGGCAGGAGAAACTGGGCTTTTGTCTTGAAAAGTAAAAAAATCTCATTAAGACTACGCCGAATGATGGATTGAATGCACGTGTTCTTTCATCATTACTCGAGTTCGGGTCAGATACTCATAATCTCTTTAACATAGTAGACAATGTGGCCTAAAACGAATTTTGTCAAAAAGATTGTAACTATTGAAATACTGCCTTTCAGACATACCCATGGACGTCGGATGCACGCACACAACTTCGTCGCCGCTGTCCAACACTGCAGTTGTCTGAGTCCACCTCATTTCAGTTTCCTCTGGAACTCCTGTCTGGAGGAGCCGTGTCAGTTGGTTCCGGGGTGAATCTCCACCCCCTCTGAACGGAAGATCAGAACCGCGACTTTCGCTGATGTGGCTGCTAAGTACGCCGACTTCATCGGCAGGCGAGAGACGCGAAATGAATAGGGGTGGTGGCGGCGATGAGGGCGGCGGCGGTCCCGTCAACGTCTTCAACGGCACCAGCAGCGTGGAGGGTGATGAGGATGATGATAGTGGAGACGAGGTAGACGTTGTCAACAGTTCTGGTGATGGGGAGGGTTGGGTTGATAATGGCAATGGACTCAACCCCTTCAACACCTCTGGGATTTGAGACTGTGGAAGGGAAAGTTGTGGGGAAGGGGTCAGCGTCGACAAGGGTTCCGGCGGTTGTGTCAATGGGGTTGAGGTTTTCGGCGACGACGGCGACAGCGACGGCCACGCAATCAGTGCATTTAGGAGTTGAGACGGAGTCGGGGAGACGGCAGGGGACGGCGTCGGAGACGGAGACGGAGGCGTGCAGTCTTCTGTAGACGCTACTGTCTCCACCCGCTTCAATGTCAACCATCCTGATGGCGGTGGTGTTGGAAGTGGTGGTGGGTGTGCCAGTGCGGAGAACGGATTGGGTGGCGTTGGGAGTGTCGGGGTGGCCGAGTGTCGCGGCCGTGGGCGAGGCCGTTGTGGTGGCGTCGATGGTCTGCACGACTCCAAGTCCAGCAGACAGGGAAACGTTGGCGGTAGATTTGGTGACGGTGAAATCGGCGCCGTGAACGGATGAGGTGGTGGAGAATGTGGGAGTGGCGACTTCCTTGATCGCATTGGTGACAACAGCGGCAGTGGTGGTGTTGGTGGCTGCGGCTGTGAAGGAGGTGACAGCGGCGACATGGCTGCTGGTTGGGATTGTCCCAGAGCCAACCTGCGAGATCGCGGATGTGGAGTCGGACGGGGATTCAACGCAGTAAATGCTATCGTCGCGGGTCCAGGTCCCTTTGTGGCGAATCAAGTTTGGGGGTTGAGGATGAGGACGATATTGATGAAATGGAGCTGTTTGAACCGGCTGCTGATACACTATCCACTTCACCTTCCGACTCCTTATGATGCGCGGTATTTGATGGATGCGTTATGGGAGTTGAATTAGCTTCCAGAGTGCGAAGGTCTTCTTCACTTGTGAGGCTCAAGCGACTGACATATTCCAAACTTGTTGCCTGGGAGATTTTCTCACCTAGTCTAGAGGGAGCTGATCTCCATCGGACAGCTGTGTGCTCGGTGCCAGTTGTCCATATGGATGTAACAGAATTGAAGCTTATGTCCTGTTGAATGCTAGAATCGTCCTTACCCTCCGCATTTCTAGTGTCCTTAAAAGTCATGGGAGTTGTAGATGACGATGCTACGCTAAGTGTGCTGACGGCAGTTGCGCAATTTGGCCATTTGTACGTATTTGACTGTGATACACTAGGAACTAGAAGAAAAGTTCAATAAAGACGATTAAGTGAAATCTGATCTACTTATAGAAAGAAAGTCATGAGTTAAAATGCATTCATGAAAGCCGACACCAATAACCTAAAATAATGCTTCTTTACGCCCAAGGTCATGCCTAATCCTCGGTCGTGCGTACTGTATAAGTGATGCTTAGCTGGCTTAAATAAATCAAGTCGGTTACAAGGATGGGTCAATGCAAGATAGAACATGCATGCATAAAACCTTGTGCGATGCATATACCTTATTTATACTTACTCGAATTACTTCAATTATAGGGACTCACATTATTGCTTAGGTGTTGTAGACGAGGAGATGAAAAAAAGAATGAATCTTGAAAGATACAAGAAATGGACTTACTGCTATCTGAATACGAGGTACCGTCCCTATTCTGATTGAACATGCCCTGTTCATAGGGCAATATTGAAGATCCAGCTGCATGTGGATCCTGGTTCCACCACTGAATGTAACGGCACAAGAGTTTGGACGGACTCAGCATATCGTAAGTTGTCGAGTTGCTTTGTGACGCAGTTCAAGGTTTAAATTTATTGATTGGTTTCGTGCGATCTTGAGCCCGACCAACCACGCGGATGCCCACTGACGGTTGTTGCGTCAGGTGGTGGTCACGTGTTACGGAATAGAAGTAGTGTGAACCGTAGAGGAGGGGATTCAGTTGATGAGGAATTAGGTGGACAGGCCTGATATTTTGCGGTTTTTACTTCATGCAGGAACGATGAGAAATGCCTGAGGTAAAGTTCCTTGCTTGTGGCGTTCATCGGTTTAGAGAGCGTATTTAGTCCTTTTAATATTGTAAACGTATTTTACTAGAATTCAGTTCTAATTGACGTATCCGTATTCTTCCTCCTCAACCATGACTAACTGAATAGCTTTAAATTTCCGTGAGTCCCTTAGCTGAGGGCTGATTTCCGTATCCTTTTCCTGATTAAACATCTTTCGAGAGATTTCCACCACTCCACCTGTTAGTCGTTTTTTATGAAATTCGCAACACTCCCTTAATATTCATCTGTTCTTCCCTGCTACCTCTAAACATTCTGTCTATATCAGCTTTTGATAGAAGGCTCTTCTACCCCACGGAATGTTTTGGGGTGTTTTCGATGCGAAAATTTGACTAAATTAGGATTGCATGATTAGAGATTTTGTTGCGGAATGCCAAAACATTTCAATCATATAAGCATGCCAGCTTTTGAAAGAGCTTCGTTAGTGCCGACCGGATAAAGTGAACTCAGGAAAAATAACTAGTCGATTAGTATGGATTTCTCAACTTGATTTCCGCTGCCCTCATTAATTCCAATATGTGTCTCAGAAAAAACACTCAAACTCATCGTTCTTTTACTCATTATGTGGAGAATTATTTCTTTGAACTTCATGCTTAGAAAAGAGTATCACTAGGTTGATTACCGTTTATAACTCTAAGATTTTTTAAAATTGTGAAATGTATTTTCATAAACCACTGTATCTCCTCGTTTGTTAGTGCTAATAGTGAATCAAATCCCCTGCAAAATTTCATGAAAGCCAGATGGCTTCGTCTTGGGAGGACATAGAAATGTGTATTTTCCCTGTTGTAAAAATCATGCATCTTGTAGTTTTGAAGCCCTAAATGCGAGGGAGACGACAGGTCCGGTTCAAAATGATACTATTTCTTAAAATATACAATCGGAAGAAATCGTAACTTTCTTCCAAATGAGTACTAGAAAGAATATGTTTTGTACATGTTTCCTGTATATATAAACTTGAATTTAGAGGGGCGTGGAAAACCTACGAAAAGTTAATGCTACTCAAGTAGTCATTTTGGACAATAGCACGTTTTGTTTAGTTTTAAAAGTCAGCTTTGCAAGTCCGTGCGATTTCGTGTTCTGAAGTGCAGTAATAACGAACACTGGCATGGATCAATGCCATTTTGCCATTTGAAGTCATACGAGTTGACACAGAATTGACTACCACCGAATAGTCGTTTCGAGTTTTGAACATATGGAACATTACAGCTCGTGCGGCCTTGCTTCTCTACGTATGTAATTTAGCAATGGAATGAGAAAAGCATTAACAGTTTCAGTATTGAAGAAGGAGACACGATCGCCGGGACAAGAGCTTTATTAGCCTGACGTTTCGGATTCCTACTCGGATCCATCATCAGAGACAAAAGAGCAGAAACGGGTGGTTGTTGCACAAGGGGCTGCGGTATTTATAGGATGCAGCAGCCATGCTACCGCATGCCTATGAACGTTCACGGCTTCCCCCTTCATCCGGGATTGTCACACTTGGGGTGATCATTGCTTGATGGCCTGGGACTCGGCTCTTCGCTTCTATTGGCAGTTTCAGTATTTATATGGCCAGGCCGTCTGGCATTCATAACCGTAGAGCGGAACCTGAAATTTAGCAACTACAGTGAAAATGGACACAATAAAATGAGAAAACCACATTCTCACTTCTGCGGTAGAAAATAGCGATATTTTTTCAACAAACTGCAAAATCATAAAGTACTCAGACAATCGCTGGCAGACGGCCTTCTTGAGACGATCCTTAAACAGGTGACATATTAGAGAAGGTTTTCTAATGAATCGAAAGCATATCTGATTTTGCCTTTTTTGTGAACATTTATTTTTTCCGCCAGTGAGGTTTCGGGTTTGAATGAGTCTTCCAATTTGACCCAAACGAAAATCTAAATGAAAAAGTACAACTAAACTCTCTCTACTGCGGTAAATGCCTTCAAGACGTATCTTATTTCAAAGGTTTGATTGAGCAAATAATACAGAACCTGTCGTTATGGAAAGTCGATTTAAAACACTGAAAATCACGAAGTATTCAGCGAAATCTCAAGGGCCATCTGAAACTCAAGGTGATCCGGAACGAGGAATAAGTGCCAACTGATTTTACGAAAGGAAAATTCTTTTGACATATTCTAAATGGTCAGTTTATGGCTGCATCCGTTAAATCTATTTAAACTGATGATTCACCGACAGCAAGTTACCTTATGGAAGTTTCCATTTCTATGGCGTCCTTATCGGCGAGATTAAGCAAAATCATTTTGCCTTATTAAACTGTATCTCAGTCAATGCAAACACGCAACAATTTTTCCCGAATTCTCTGAATACCGTTTTGGAAAATATACGCAGAATGTGGGCTGTTGGTAAACCGGCATACCGGTATTATACAAAGTCTTAAAAATATTTTGCTGTAAATTTCACTAAATGTCATTTTATTTACGCGGTCATGTTTAGTCAATTCGCGAGCATTGGAATACGAAATATACTAAATTACAACCGTCTCGGACGTTTTTTTTGAATTTTCTGCTTTCTCGACGAAAATGATACTTCTAAACAAGTTAATATTGCCTTTTATGTTTATTTTACGTCTTCGATTCCCTTAAAGCTAGCATTTATTAGTCTAGATATGGAGTCCATGGTCTAATGTCAGTTTGCGAGTGATTAACGATCATTCGTACCTTTTGACACCTTTCATCAGATAGGTAACAAATCCCCTTGCGAATTCCATTCTACGGTTGCATCCTTCGCCATTTAAATCAGTGCTCACTTTGGACTGGTACTGTTCTCTGGATGCTCGCCAATAAAAGTACTACAAACAGTAGTATTGTTTACTTAGCCGCGATTACCGGATGCAGGCTCCGGGATAGATGCTGCTCCAGGAAGCCTGTCGTTGAACCAATCTCCTCCTAGCCGAGTAATACAACGGCTGAAATCCAGACAAACCATTATCTTGGATTGTGGTCGATGCGGATGTTTTGAGCATTCTGATGTTATTTTCTGCGTCCTGGAGAAGACAAGCACTCCAGGAGCGTCGAATCATCAGGCAGTTCTAATCAGACATGTGTAGCAGTTGACTGAGAGATTGGAAAACTTGCTGGTGACATCAATTCCTGCTTCTTTATCCTTGTGTCACTGTTCTCGACAGTTAGACCCAATGTGCTCTCTCCTCCCCCACCACCTACCCATCACTCCAATACTTGTTGCGACCTGGTGATGACGTAGATAGGCAAGTCTACTTGGGCAGGGAACGATAATTGAGACACACGCTACGAATACGTCCTGCCGACCTCTTTTTAGGATCAACAAATCAATCCACCGACCTGGGAGGAACTCTGCCACAATCGACCGATCTACAGAATAACAGTGTTAAAACATCATGTAACAGCTGGCTAAGAGTCCACATCACACTAACTCCTTTTTCTTCGTTAATGTGTCCTTGTTCACAACCGTTAGCCCTCTGTGTGCTCGCTCCAGTCCAAGACTGACTGCGCAGTTTTTGGGCTGTGGAATCACGAAGCCACTGTGGACATGAGACATTAATTATCGCGCTCTCGCCCTCGAGGTTTTAAATAAAGTTTTTCCTAGATGCCTTTAAAAATCACTGACCCCTCGGTGCTCCATTGCTCTGTAAAGAACCAGCGAAAGAATGTCATGGACAGGGTTCACCACAAACACTTGACAGAGTACATAGACAATAGGAACTGTTATCGCGAGCGCTAAGGACAGAACCGTCAATCCCAGGCTATGGATATCAGGATAAGATCAGAGTTACAAAAGAATTAACAATCAAAATTCAAACGACCTGACTGTCCAACACATGCCCTGCGCGTCACGTCCTGTTGTGTTCAGTTGTTCAGTTAAACAACCAGTAAGTTCAAGAATGAAGAACAGGTACGGAAATGCAAAATAGTCTGGCGCCTCGGCACAGTTCCCCCTCCGAGACCGGAGGGCGGCGAAAACGACGCCGAAGGATATGTACAAGTCTAAAAGAAATGAATGACCAACCGATCAGGAAAGTGTACATGACGACCACTGAGAGTGATATATACAGGGTCCGCAGAAGAGTGAATAAATCTGGTGGCGGAAGAGTTGGAGTTGGTGGTGGCAGTCGTAGGTAGCGGACAGGAGGGCAGAGGGAAAATACGGGACGGTGGAATAGAGGCTACAGGTGTGGAAGCAGAATGTAGAGGACCAAAGGGCCTTGAGGCGATCCACAATCACTACCTCATCACGATTGTCGCGTTGAATGCGGAAAGTCTTCATCCCGCGACAGAGCACTCGGAATGGGCCGTCATAGGGCGGCTCCAGAGGCCGACGGACTCGATCACATCGGAGGTAGACGTGCAAGCACTTTGCCATGTCCTTCTCGAGATAAGACGGAGAGGCGGAGGACCTGGGAGGAAACGGAGAAATTGTCCGCATAAACTGCCGGAGGTGATGTAGGAGGTTGATGGGATCCTAGACTGCGCCTCGGGGGGTTGGCGAGATCATCTCACCGGGGAGTCGGACGGTGGCGCCGAACACCAGTTCAGCTGCGGAACAGTCAAGGTCCGGCTTGATAGCGGAGCGGATGCCCAAGGGGGCCAGGGGAAGGTGGTCCGTCCAGTTCTACGGAACGGCCGCGGCGCTTAGGGAGGCCTTCAGCTGACGGTGAAACCGCTCGACCATCCCGTTAGCAGCCGGGTGAAAGGCTGTTGTCCGGATGCGAGTGCAGCCTAAAAAGGAGGGTAAAGACTGGAAGAGGTTAGACTCAAACTGGGCACAACTATCAGTCGTGATTGTGGAGGGTGCACCAAAGATAGCAACCCAACAACTGAGAAAAGCCCTGACCACCGTTGGAGCAGCAATGTCAGGCAGGGGAATTGCTTCAGGCCACCGAGTGAACCGGTGAGGAGATAGGAGCAATCATTGGACAGAGGCAGGGGGCCTACAATGTCCAGGTGAACGTGGCTCAACCTTGAACGAGGGCCGGGGAAGGTGTCAATAGGGGTCTTGTTGTGCCGCTGAATCTTACTCCGTTGACAGGCGCTAGAAGTCCGTGTCCATGCTTTGAGGTCTTGGTGAATCCCAGGCCAGACGAAGCGGTCGGAAGCCAGCTTGTCGTTTGCTAGCCTCCCAGGGTTAGAGAGATTGTGCAGGGAGGAGGATGGTGGCACAAATGGACGATGGGAAGGGGTGGATACGTTGCATAAAATGGTGCCGTTGCCAGTTGTCAGTGATAGTTCCTGAAGTTGGAGTTCGGAAACATCCTCATCGCAGGGTGAACCGGCACGGCGTTCTTCAGCGGCCATCTCAGTGAGGTCTATCCCGGATGAAAGCTGAAGATGAGCGGTAGAGGGCCTGGAGAGCGCGTCAGCCACCTCATTCCGTGACCCGTCAATATGGCGGATGTCTGAAGTGAACTGTGAAATGTAGTCCAGGGGGCGGGTCTCTCGGGGGCTTAGCTTGTCAGAGTGGGATTGCATTTCAAATAAAAGTGGCTTATGATCTGTGAAAATTGTGAACTCTCGACCTACGAGTAAATGCCGGAAGTGCCTTACTGCATGATAAGGGGCGAGAAGTTCACGTCCGAATGTGCCGTAGCGGGTTTCGGTCTTGGATAGTTTCCTGGAGAAGAAAGTCAAAGGCACGGTAGAATTTGGCAGACTTTGTTGAAGAACCGCGCCAACAGCAACATTGGAGGTATCGACCATCAGAGATATGGGTGCATCAGCATGAAAGTGAGTCGGGAGGTTGGCATCAACCAAAAGGGCTTTTACCTGCTCAAATGACGTGAGTGCTGCTGATGTAAGTCCAAAGGTGTGCTTAGAACCTGAGAGGAGACTGGTCAGAGGTAGGATGGTATCGGCACAGTTCGGGAGAAACCGGCAATAAAAGTTCACCATACAAAAGAAAGCGTTGCAACGGACGCTTCGAGGTAGGGAGTGGAAAGTCCCGAATGGCAACAGCCTTTGAGGGAAGAGACCGAATGGCGTTTGAGTCGATCAGGTGACCTAAGAACTCAAGAGAAGTGGCTCCTAGGACACATTTGGCAGGATGCAGGGTGACACCAAACTGTTGAAATCGGCCGAAAAGCAGGGTAAGGTGTTGGGGATGTCCCCTAATATATCGACTGGCGACGAGAACATCATCAATATGCGCATAAACAAATGGAAGGCCACGTAAAACACGGTCAGTTAAAGGTTGGAAAGACCAAATGGCATACGAAGGAATTCAAACAAGCCAAAAGGAGTCGTCACTGCCGTTGTGGGAATGTTTTCAGCCGCAATCGGAAATTAATGGAAAGTCCGCACCAAAATGATCTTCCAGAAAACGATTTTGCCACAGGGAGCGCTGGCAAAGTCCTGAAGATGAGGAACCGGATACCGATCGGGCATAGTGATATTGGTTAGGGCTCTATAATCGCCACAAGGACGCCAATCATCCGTATTTGGTTTAGTAACCATGTGCAAAGGAGATGCCCAGGGACTGTCAGACTGCCGAATAATGCCTAGTTGCAGCACATAGCCAAATTCAGCTTTAGCAGCCGCAAGACGCGCGGAAGCAAGATGGCGGGGACGAGAGAAAATGGGAGGACCAGTCGTTTTTATGTGATGAACAATATCACGGGGCAGTGCGGTGCGGGAGAAATGGGGCTTAGTGAGAATAGGATATTTTGCCAAAAGTCTACGAAATGGGCAGTCAGGATCTGGGTCAGGGATGGATAAAAGTTTAAAAGCTGAGGCTGGAGGAAATCCTTTGACTATGAGGGTAGTTGCGCGATCATGGAGGTGAAGTTGCCTGCAATCCACCAGAAGGTCACAGGCAACTAAAAATCAGCACTAAGGACGGCGGTGGGATTAATCGCCTGAGACCAATATCCAGAGAGTCGGACCGAAATCCAAAGGTTGTAATGGGGGATGAGTTTATGGCTTGAAGGTAAAGACAATGGTTTACACATCGTCGGTCGGCTGGCGTGAGATGGACAACACAAATGTGAGCGCCAGTGTCGACTGAAAAGTGCCTGCGACTCGTGTTATCACAGACGTAAAAGGTGAGACCCGTAGAGTTGCCAGAGAGCTCGGCCGCATTTACTCTGCGGCCGACGAGTTTCCCTGCGTGGACTAGAAGGAGCGGGGTTGGACATGACATGACATGACAAGACATGATACCATAGAATCTTTTGCGAAACCTAATTTTACCCCTTCTTTAAGTAGTTGTTCCGTCTACCCATCTTCATAGACTGAAAAGTCCTACGTACAGCTCCCCTTATATAACGCACATTGTTCAATGAGTGACCCGCCAATGCCGTCTGTGAGGCTGCATCCAACCGGCATGTCACCGTCACCCGCAATTACTCGAAACGTCGGACCTCCAATAAACCCCTTCCGGTGAACGCCTCCCTTCTTTTAATAAAAAATGTTCTTCGTTCTTAATCGCCTCCGTTATTTTCAATTAAATATCAACTATTACGACATTAGACGTTATTACTGTGTGAATGTTATATGTGGATTATTTTGGAGCTACGGTGTTAAATATCTTCATATTTAAGTTTTCCAGTCAACTTTCAAAGTCATTAACGAAACTATTTTGGTTTATTCAAGTTTTTTTATAACAGTCACCACAAAAAAAGTTCTTTCCGCCTGCCCACCTTCTCATCCATTTGCCCCGCCCGCAAAACCCCTCCTTCCGCCTGTTCCGTAAGACACGTAAACCTATCTTGGATTATTTGGAATGGGTCTCATTTTGCGTCGTTGGCTAACGGTCCACCGCAAATTTTGCTTGTGCTGGTGGATTGTAAACTGGGAGCAATGCTGAGTGTTAATCACCCACAAGCGATTTAACAATCGCAACAGCCATCCTCTTTTGTCCGTCAGTCTGGCCTGCATAAAGCCTCCTGCGGATATTATCGGTCCTGAATTGCTTAACGTGTCCACACTTGCACCATAAACCTTATCAGGGATTAAAAGCGCAGGAAAAAGCCTCCGTTATGAGTTGCGGAATTTCCTTTTGATTGCATGCAATATCGCTGCACTAAGGGGTCATTGCAGCCTCATGCTCGACCCACTAGTCCCCATAATATGTCCCCACGATGCGTGTGTGTTCAGGTGGAAAGAGGTGTGGTGATGTGATAAGGACTATGGTGTTTTGGCTAGGTGAATGTCTCGCAGATGTGTAGGTTGATGACGCGGAAGCCACGGGTATGTGTTGGAAAGAATGGTGGAAAGTAATCACAGTTCGACTGTCATTTCTGACGATGTCCACAGTCTGTTCCACAGCACCATTAGAGCGAAAACTGTGACTTACGCATGATAATAGACTTGCACTGCATCAATCGTGATCTCTTCTCTCCCGCCCACTTAGGCTCGGATCCAAATGAAAATCAATTTAGAAACCAATGAGTGTGGAGTTCATGAGTATTATTCTGAACTACTTAAACCTACCCGCAGAAATCAGATATTAATGCACCACCTCCGCCCTAGGAGAAATATCTGGCTGCACAGTATTAGGTGAATGGGATTTACTCATCTGGCGGACATAACTACTGGTTCAGCCATCGAGGTGTTCCCAGTGACAGACGACAAAAAAGAAGCCGCATGTCAGCTTGCTATGTGGACCAGGACTCGAAAAAATGTATCCCGTAGAATATTACGGTATTGCAGAGAATATACTCTGTCTGAGTGACAAACCAAAACCTCTTCAGGTTACTGTCGTGGTTAGGCAGTGATGTCGATATCTTCTGTGGATTTGTCGGTGCACTCGATACTGATGGTATTGCGTGTGGCACGTTAAATATGAAGTAGCGTAGGCAGGAGCTAGTTAGACGCCGCGTAAGTGCTGATATGTTTTTGACACACAGTGGATGCGCCATCTTATAAGATGCTAACCATGATTACCAAACGTGTCTTCCAGTGAAGGAGATAGCTCAAGCAAAGTCGTGAGATTTATTGTCGCACAGCATAATCACAAGATATTTCAGTCAGGTCAGGGTTCTGACCTTCAAAAAATCGCTTTCTGACCGCTTGCAAAAGCTGCACTTCGTAATATGATTCATTCCTGTTAATATTCCTTGTCTTTATACACCCAGGTATATTACTTAGAAAACATGCCCAGTAATATCTTTTATTGCGCTTAATTGGTAGCCCAATTTGCTGTCGAATTTCGTTCCTAGAGATAGGATATTTATCACTTTTGAAAAATGTATCGATTGTGGGATTTTTTTAAAACCGTTAAATGTCCGCCTATAAAGCATCGGATATGAGCGTTTATAAATGCTGCTTGCAAAGTATGGAACGTGGTCCACAACCACTGCGAAATTTTAAGAGTCCCACGTTAGTTCCCCTTAATGGCATACATAAATGTGTGGTCCTACTTACAGAGAGGATATATAGTCTGTAGTTTATAGACCGAGAATACAAGTGCGACGACCAGTCAAGTCCAAATTCATTCAAAAATTGAGGTCTTTTAAAAACGAAAGATGTGCCTTCTTCGAACGCAAAATTTAAAGATGCCTTAATCCGCTGCTAACTAAACCAGGAAAAATATTTTTACGCAGTTTTTCGTGAAATATATTTAGATACATAAGGGCATCCAAACCCAATAGCCGAAATTCACTCTACATAAGCAGTCATTTTTACATAGTTCACTTTTTGAAAGCGGCTGGCATGAAAATCATTAAAAAGCCGACATTCTGATGTGACTAAAGTAGCTTGTGATCATAGTGGGTGACATTTGGTCTTGCAACGGTAATTGAGTAATCTTTTCTAATCGAATTTCGATTATAATTCTATGAGATAGCACATCACCTCTATGTTACAAATCGAGAAATAACAGCGATCGGCTGAAGGACCACAAACCAACACGACCAGCGAAATGTGCCTGTGTTACGGGAAATGTGGCAATAGGAGTTTTACGGGCGGGGCCTATGCATGTCTAGAGGCATGACAGAATGAATGGAAGCAAATACTGATAATAAGAGGACTTCCGCCCGTGTGAGGCGACCCACGCGCATGTAACTGTTCTTCACGGGTTATTCAGCTTGGCCCAGTCTCCTGCAGCACATTCCCAGAACTCCGATTTCGGCCGTCCTCGTTTCTCATACTTGCAAGCCCAGAAAGTCGGATTATCTGAAGAACAATTTATCCAAAGTTTCTACAAAGGCTGAGTTGCTTTTCTACTATTAGACATTGTTTCATCATCGCCTCAAAGTATTTGTCTAAATTTTTGCTCACGGAAGCTTCTCGACCATACCTTCCCATTCAGCTAATGAAGTTACTATCTACCGAAAGATCATCATAAAGGCCTTTCCTTCATACTTAAGTCTACGCTCTTTGTGTATATAGAAAAGTTATCCAGAATGTTGGAGTCTGCACTAGTGTTCCAAAGTAACGCGCACTTGGGATTTGAACCGGGGACCTCAAAACTTAGGGCTCGCTCCGCTAACCCCTACACCACCGACGCACGGCTGGACAGCTCAGTTAAAAGC